TAAGATGTGAACTAGTTTAGAGATATATAGAGATATACAGAGATATTCAGTTACGTGAACATGAACTGGTCTTGTGTAAATAGTCTGTGGCACTAAACCTCAGTTATTAGAGACAGAAAACTTCTGCAGCACCAAACAATAAAAACCTGACAAGGCAAGTCCGATGACTCAGAGGCATTAGGTGGTAGCTTGGTATTTTATAAAACTCTCTCTACACAAAGACTTGCAAACACTGTCTAACAGTGCTGCTGCAACAAGGTTTAACAGTGTGGAAGCCTGCTAATCCACTAAAAACAACCTGAGATTTACTTAATAATTTTGTGCCCTTGTACAAACTCTAAACAGTAAAGTGTGTCGGATGGTAGCAGCAGTGTAAGTGTGAATAAATCACAGCCTGTGTAAAAATACAAAAATAAATAAATCCCTGCTAATTATTCAGCTCAGCATGGGAAGGAATATTCGCAAACAACAGGAAGAATCTGAGAGTGATAAACAGACAGAGAAAAGATTATATTCTGTTTCTAAATCACCATCTGTCTGCCTAAAAACAGACAGAAAGTCAAAGTCTGTGCCCTGGGGTTTTTTTCTGGGAAAGGCAGACAATGTCCGTCCCTTCAGTAAACAGACAAAGAGCCATCTTCAGCTTGCTGACAGAAGGCTTTTAGCCAGATGCTCTGTGACATTTACTGACAGACAAGACGGAGGAGCCGAGCTCTACTGCAGGAATGCCAAGGGTCCGGGCTCAGGCTATGAGTCACACTGACACTACAGTACACTCATGGCAATAGCAACTGCTTTGAAAGCTTTAAAATCGCGCTAGTGCATCTTCTTTTCCTCTGGGACTTGTTTTTATGCCTGAGCCAGGCTAGAAGTTTGGAAGAGGTGACGGTAGCGGGAAATTATTTGTGAGCAGAGGCCATTCCTCTTGTGGAGAGTGATGGCAGATATTACACAGTGAGATGTGCTGACACCTTTTAAAATCATTTTCATCCATCTTATAAACAAATATGTTACACAACTCTTCTCACACTCGTTTTCTGCAAGACATTCTTTCAAAATAGAACATTTAATCCATGAGAAATCACATAATTTTAATTGTAATTATGAGTTGTCTACCCTCGCGGCAATGCATTACCACATGTCGAATGGGTGTCGCACTGCCTAATCTGTGCCATCATCCGCATCCAGCTGGGGGCTGCATTAACCAACAGCAGAGAGAGACGGTCAGTGCCAGAGGTTTACAGTCTAAGAGGTTGGTATATAAAACGCCACTCCCTGTATCACTCATATCCTGCCTGATTTGATGTTTCCTTACACACCTGTACAGATCAGTCATTACTCACTAACCACTGCCAGGTCCTTGTTTGTCCACTGACTGACAAATGAAGGACTAAGAGGCTTGAATAAGTCAACTAGGTCTAGGTAGTGATTCATACACCTACTGTACCAACACCCAGCTGCCATGATTAAAAAGAAATCAGATTCTTTCACATATTTTTGAAAGAAATTCAATAAATGTATTATTATCCTTTTAAGCAAATAATTACAGCCATGTCTGAGGCACTTGCTTTGAGTGCTATTAGGTTCTACAAAGGATACGTCAGAATATATACTGTATTTTTTCCAAAAGGTGTAATTTTCTACAACAATTGTTTTTTTTTTAAAAATATATTTTTTACACTAGACTAAAAAAGGCAAACTGTGGATTTCCCAGAGATTACATTCAGCTGAAGAATCACAGGTTTTCTGCAAAGATATCAAGCTCTAATGTAAATCGAATGCAATTTAGTACCTCCTGGATGATCGTAGCAGCCATCTATA